GATAAATATTTGATCATTTATTGGTCCACACTATATTCTATCATGATGCGGCTTGGTTTGGATTTTTCGAAGAAATTTTGCTCGAATCGCTGCAGATGTCGTCTTACATTATACTAGATTTTTCTCAAACTAATGAACTGATTATGACAAAACTTGACAGGAATGCTTGAAATAACCAGTATAACAAAGGAAAAAAGTCACATTCAGTTTATTTAACAAAAAAGTCTTCTTTAGGTGTAATACCACCAAATCATAGTACGTCACATCCGGTTGCATACGAAAATAGGTCGAAAAAAAATATTCCCTTGAATTTGACAGTTGTAGGTAATTGATCCTACATTTCATTGCAGTAAAACATTTCTGGGTCATAAACATATATCTTGGGTATTTCAAAGCACCATTATTTTTTTATTTGGGGTTTCTATAGAATATTTTGGAAACTTGAGGTTACATGGTTACTAAAGCTTGTATACAGGTTAAAAAAGGGGGAAAATTTGATTGGTTAACTTCCAGTGATGGTTATTTTCTTATATGCAATGAAATGTTATGTGAAATTTTTTCTATAGTACTGGACAGGATCAAACTTTACTCATGCCAAGTATTTCTTTATTTGAAACAAAGATAAATTCTGCACAATTTTTTGAAAAGTGCAAATTTAACAAAGACTAATAGGGGAAAATCAATGGTGGTATTACACCTTTAGAAGTCCAAATATATACTTATTATATGATCGATTTATTTCCCTTTGAACAGAAATTGTGATTTGCAAATATCATTTCCATTAGATAATAATCTATTTGTATTAAAGGATATATTTCATTACATTACATTGTGTAGATAAAATTGTTGACATTGATAGATAAGTTGCAGATCTATATTAGTTTGTGACAAATGAAAGAAAAAATATTGGGAACTATTAATTATATATATAAAGTTTGATTACACTTAGTGTTTTTAAATAATTTTCACCTGTTATTGTTAATAGATAACAAAACATCTGGTAAATATCTTATCACACAATTATAATTGGAGTGACAGATTTATTTGAAAATTTTCTGTTTCCTAAGTGTTGATGATAAGATCTGTAGGACAGTATAAATAAAGTTTGAAATTTACTGTTCATCATTAGACATTTTGAAGATAATTACAGATAAGTTTTATAGATTTTTAGTCCCCTACCGACGAAGTCGAAGGGGACTTTAGGTTTGCACTCCGTCCGTCTGTCTGTCTGTCTGTCCTTCTGTCAGTCCGGCAAATCAGCTTTCCACACTTTTTTTCTTCGTTCTTTAAGATATTGATTTGATATTTGGTATATAGTTTTATCATGACAAGTTATAGATCAAGTTCAAATTTTGTCCCGGTCTGATGATTTAATCCAGAGTTATGGACCATAACTCTGGACCATATCTAATGTTAGAGTACTATGTTAAACCATATTTCTGTACAAAGGGAGATAACTAATTTCTAAAAGACATTCTTTGTTCAATTATTTGAAGAATTGTTTTGCAGGTTTGTTAGTTATTTAGTATAAACTAATTTTCTGAATGCTATATATATAAAAAAAAAATATGAAGAGAAATCCTTTAATTAGATAATAATCTATTTTTATTATGTATATATTTCAATACATTACATTGTGTAGATAAAAGTTGTTGACATTTTATAGATAAGCTACAAATCTATAATAGTTTGTGACAAATGAAAGAAAAATATTTGGAACTATTAATTATATTTGATTATAATTTGAAAATAGATATACACTGTATTACATCATATCTAATTTTAGAGAACTATTAATCATATCTAATGTTTTTTTCATCATGCTTATACGATATTGATTGATAATTAGTATATAGTTTTATCATGACAAGTTACAGATCAAGTTCAAATTTTTGTTTCGGTCTAATAATTTTGTGCAGAGTTATGGTCCTTGGACTTGAAAAATTCACTCATATAATCAGTTTTCCACACTGTTTTAAGTCATGCTTGTTAAGTTCAACATGCCCAAAATGGCCAAGTGAGCTTTTCTCATCACTTGGCGTCCGTTGTCCGTCGTCGTCGTCCGTTAACTTTTACAAAAATCTTCTCCTCTGAAACTACTTGGCCAAATAAAACCATACTTGGCCTAAATCATCCTTAGGGTATCTAGTTTAAAAAATTTATCCGACAACCCCGCCCATCAACCAAGATGGCTGCCATGGCTAAAAATAAAATATGGGGGTAAAATGCAGTTTTTGGCTTATATCTCTAAAACTAAAGCATTTAGAGCAAATCTGAAGGGGTAAACATGTTCATCAGGTCAAGATCTATCTGCCCTGAAATTTTCAGACACATCAGACAACCAGATGTTGGGTTGCTGCCCCTGAATTGGTAATTTTAAGAAAATTTTGCAGTTTTTGGTTATTAGTCCCCTACCGACGAAGTCGAAGGGGACTTTAGGTTTGCACTCCGTCCGTCTGTCTGTCTGTCTGTCTGTCCATCCGTCAGTCCGGCAGATCAGTTTTCCACACTTTTTTTCTTTGTGCTTGAAAATATTGATTTGATATTTAGTGTATTGTTTAATCATGACTAGTTACAGGTCAAGTTCGAATTTTTTTCAAGTCTGACGAATTTGTGCAGAGTTATGGTCCTTGAACTTAGAAAATTCACTCAAATAATCAGTTTTCCGCACTTGTTTTTGTCATGCTTGAAGATATTGATTTCATGATTGGTATATAGTTTTAGCATGACAAGTTACAGATCAAGTTTGAATTTTGTTCCGGTCAAATGATTTTGTGCAGAGTTATGGTCCTTGGACTTTGAAAATTCACTCAAATAATCAGTTTTCCTCTCTTTTTTTCGTCATGCTTGAAGATATTGATTTGATAATTGGTATATAGTTTTATTATGACAAGTTACAGATCAAGTTAGAATTTTGTTCCGGTCTGATGATTTTGTGCAGAGTTATGGTCCTTGGACTTAGAAAATTCACTCAATAATCAATTTTCCACATTTTTTCGTCACGCTTGAAGATATTGACTTGATATTTGGTATAAAGTTTACACCATGACAAGTTATAGATCAAGTTAACATTTTGTTCCAGTACAATGAATTTTTAACGGGTAGGGGACTATGTATTGTCAGGCAATACTCTCAGAATGCTTGTTAATAGATATTATATTAATGATAAATGACATTTTGGATTTTTTTTCATCTTTTCTTTTGTAAATTGTTTGAAGAATTTTGTGGTTGGTTTGTTTGTTATTCTGTATAAACTTATTTTCTGAATGCTATATATATATATATATTTTGATGAAGCAAACTCCTTTAAAAACTAAGCTTAGTTTGTCTATTAATAAACATATATTTAGATTTCTGATTTTGGGCCCAGTTTTCAAGTTGGTCCAAGTCGTGTTCCAAAATTATACTGTGTTTGATTTCAACATAAATTAAATATATATAGGGTTCTTTGAAAAGCTGAATCTAAACCTGTATTTATTTTCATTATTAATTAGATAATATCCCATTGAGGTCCAAAGGGTCCAAAATTAAACTTTTGTTTGATTTCATTTACAATTCAAAAATTTAATTCTTGGGGTTCTTTGATATGTTAATGATAACAATGCTATTAGATTTTGGATATTGGACCATAATAGGTAAATTTCCGATTTCAAATCTTTCAGTTCTTTGACTACATTCATTTTGTGTCACAAACCTATACTGTACGTGTCAAATATTCAATCATAATCCAAATTCAGAGCTGCTTTAAGCTTAAATTTTGTGTCCATACTTGCTCAACTGTTCAGGGTTCGACCTCTGCAGGAAAATCCGGTTTGCTGTCACTCTGACAGCCTCTTGTTGGATTTTGGATCACGTTATCAAATTGGTGTCCATTGAGGTCCAAAGGGTCCAGAATTAAACTTGTTTGATTTCATCAAAAATTGAATTCTTGGGGTTCTTTGATATTCTGAATCTAACCATATATTTAGATTTTGGATATTTGACCATAATAGGTAAATGTCCAATTTCAAATTTTTAAGTTCTTAGACAACATTCAATTTGTGTGTAAAACATATGCTATGTCAAATATTTAATCACAATCCAAATTCAGAGCTGTACTGCACAATTAATAGAAGTTATTAGTAGATTCATTGCTAAGAATAGATATAGTATCAAATTCTAATTTTAGAAATTATGTTTAGAAATAGTTTGAAATTTACTAAATGAACCATTAAACAAGAGGTCAGCTGGTTTACGCACAGGCACTAGGGGCATTGAACCTTTCCTTTCATTATTTGGATTTAAGTTTGTTTTTTAATAAATAAATTTTTTTTTAATTTTTTTAAATTATTTATAGCTGTTTAATATAAAAAAAAAATTGTACAATCAATACGATTATTATTCTAATGAACCTTTATTGTCTTATTAGTTCATTGTTTAGTTTGTTCATTATGTTACATGTAAGAATAATTACATTGTTATGTCATACGAATAAGAACAAGAACACATTAATTAGGTGAAAATAAGTAGAACTTAGAAGAACAGTCTTAAATAAAACTGATCTAAACACCGGACGGAGATCATGCCATAAACGCCTGTGCTTTCAATTACGGACGAAAATGTCGACAGCATAATATGACGCTTTAAATTGACGGACTCCTGCGAAGACAAGATACATACGAATATTCAGACAAACTGTCAGAGATAAAGATTTTCAGTTGGTAATTTGTGATGATTTCTGTTCAGAGAACGAGCTGTGAGTTCATGCGAAGGAACGGCTAGAATTTATTCAAAAATATACCTGTATGGTCTAATTACTCATATGATCCGGCTCATTACATGTAATAGCCAAAAGAGTATATATACTCATATGGTCTGATCATACACGTATGGTCGGACCATATCATTATATGCGTATGGTCCAAATACTCATATGGTCCGGAACAGATATATATATTGGATTCAATTAAAAATAGCAGATTTCTTTCATTTATTTTTTTTCTTGTTTTATTTCATTACAGGAAAGGAAATAGAAGACATCCCAAATGAGCTCTTCCTGCAGTTAGTCATGGAACTAAACAAAGACAAACAGTGGGAAAAATTTGGGAACAAAATGGGTTTGAAAAGAAAAGAAATGAAAGAATTCGGTATGGAATGTAGTTATTTGGAAGCATTAGTTTTATTTAGTGTCAGATAGAATACATTGATGCATCTTTGATAATCTGTCCGCATATTTTTGCAAAGTGTGTCCAATAAGTGATAAAAGTATTATAACTTGACTTAATGCACTCAGCATTATGACAGGAAGTAGGCTGTAGAGTATTTGAAGGCGTTATTTATGATGGTATCAAATATGGGCAATGTTAAAATAAGGGATTGAGGTTTAATCTTCAATCAGACAATTCTATCTTTAAAAAAACAACAGGATGAAGATGTAATTAATCACAAGTCACCGTACGGGCGGCAACAATTAGCAAAAGACAACAAAACACGACAACCATTGGATTATCAGTTCCTGGCTTCGGATAGACACATTACGGCGGGATTGATTAATAACATGTTTGTCATTTTCCATATTGTGATATCATTTCCAACTTATTGTATTCTATTATGATGCTAACTAGGGCATTTCAAATACATTTCAAATGCTCAGCATGTCATTTTCGACAAAAAAAAATATTTCATTTGTGCCATTATTCATACAAGTAAACACATGTGAAACATAAATGTCATACAACTTACTGATATTTTTTAGAAGTTAATACCACTTCATTCTGTCATCTGCTTACCGTGGGGAGATTGAAGTGGGTTTTCGAGCAGGATGTGTTTATTTTATAACGTTCTAAAACAATTTAGTTCAACACATAAAATATCAGTAAAACGGTTTTAGTGTGAAGATGTCTTGAACAATCTGAAAAAAGCAAGCACAATATAAGTCAGATGCGGATCCAGGATTTTGAAAAAAGGGGCCCGCGGCCCTCCAAACTAGACAAAGTTTGGAGAGGAACAGGTAAAAAATCTGGAATAACCATAAATGTAGCTCCATAAAGGAGGGCGGGATCTTCGCCCACCCCTAAATCCGCCTCTGTAAGTCCATTGTATCGATGATTTTTTTTTTACTCCAAACTCTTTTTTCCTTAAATTTTACACCAAGAATCAACTTTGATTCCATAGTATAATTATGCCCCCGCTGTAACGGAGAGGGCATTTAGTTTTACCCTTGTCCGTCCCAAAGTTGGTTTCCGTTCTCTAACTTTAGTTTGACTCAACCAAATGTCATGAAACTTAAACACAATGCTTATTACCACAAAACACAGATCAAGTTTGAATTTTGCTGGCATCACTTAAACCGTTCTAAAGTTATGCTCTTTACAAATGGAAAAATTGCTGAATTTTTCGTTTCCATTCTCTAACTTTAGTTTGCCTCATCCAAATGTTGTTAAACTTATACACAATGCTTATTACCACAAAATACAGATGAAGTTGGAATTTTGGTGTTGTCACTTTAACCGTTCTAGAGTCATGCCTATTTACAAGTGGAAAAAATGCTGATTTTTTTCGTTTCCGTTCTCTAACTTAAGTTAGCCTCAACCAAATGTTATGAAACTTATACACAATGCTTATTACCACAAAATACAGATCTAGTTCGAATTTTGGTGGTGTCACTTTTACTGTTCTGGAGTTATGCCCTTTACAAATGGAAAAAGTGCTGATATTTTCGTATCCGTTCTCTAACTTAAGTTTGCCTCAACCAAAAATGTTATGAAACTTATACACAATAGTTATTACCACAAAACTCAGATCGAGTACAAATTTGGCTAGCGTCACTTTTACCGTTCTTCAGTTATGTCCCTTTATATAGATATAAGAAGATGTGGTATCAGTGCCAATGAGACAACTCTCCATCCAAGTCTATAACTTTATATGATATGCAAGCGGGGGCATCATCTGTGTCCCATGGACACATTCCCCATTTATTTTTTTATGAAACCCTAGCAAATAAAGATGTTTCTTATAATATGTAATTCTATAAAGACAAGTTAGCTATAATCCAAATTTTCCCAAATTTTCTCATGCCGCAAATTTGACACCCTTGAATCATTTTAGCCTGAATAACATATTATACCCAATTATAATTTTTCATCAAAACAAACGAAAATTTATTTTTCAACTAAAAAAATAGTTTTATTCTATTCCAATTTAAAAAAAAAACACGAAGTTTCCTTTTATAAATATAAACACTGCATGCAATGAAGAAAAAATATATTGGGAAGTTTGATATAACAACCATGATGCAATTGAATGTTTCAGTTATTCGAAAGATGAATATAATTTGTTTATAATTTATTAATCAAAACAAAATCATGTATGGTCAGTTTTCCGAAATAACAAATGTATTCTCCATAGTTGAATTTAAGATATAAACACTGTGCATTTAAATGACCGAAATAAGATTAGGCAATCTTAACTTATTATACGTTATAAAAATGTTGATCTACGGACAGACAGACAGTGATTGATATATGGCACCAATGACTAATCGGCGTTAAAGAATAAGAGCCAATGGCATTGAACCGTCGTAGTCCTATTCCGTAACAAAAGTAGAGTGGAATAAGTCATTTATGTCCACTTTTTTTGCTTTACCAATTGCAATAATAATTTATCAATTAATTACAGAATGACTTGAATGCTTCCAAGGATTTCAGCAATCTTCTCTCAATTATAAAATGGTTAAGTAAAGCTGTAAATCTGTCACCTGATGCTGATAAAGGGTCAGATAATAATACTTAACAAACAGATGTTTAAAACAAAAAACTGAGTTTGTAATAACAGTAGAGATGATAATACAGAAAATGTCCAGTTTCTGATATTACCATTCCAGAACAGGAACAATGAAATTAATTGAAATTTTGATTATTTTAACATTTTATAATAACTACTCATGGAAATTAAATATTAAAAAAGGATGAAGGAAAGTTTGTGATGTTATATTTCCCTACACATTAAAAAAAAATTGAAATTTTTATTTGTCTACCTATAAGTTTTAATTTGTATTACATGACTGTTTACATTTGTAATTAACTAAATATTCTCATTTGTATTTACTATTAATTCATTCATGCAACAACTACCACAAATTATCAAGAAAACAAAACATGTGGTATTCATCAACTAACAAACTTATAATTGGAGTGACAAATTTATTTGAAAATTTTGTGTTTTTTAAGTGGTGTTGGTGATAAGCTGATTTTCCATCCAACATCATTTTGATGCAAATTTTTGGACATAGTTGTAGGACTGCCACAAGGTTCCATATCACAAAGGAAATGCTAGGATTGATTTTGGGGGTAATTGCCTCAAAATTTTAGGAATTAGGGGCCAAAAAAGGGGCAAAAAACAAGCATTTTTCTAGTTTCATGACAATAACTTGTGTGTAAGTGTATGGATCTTTTTGAAATTGTACTACATGGTTCCATATCACAAAGGGAAAGCTGGGTTTGAGTTTGGGGGTAATTGCCCTAAACGTTTAGGAATTTGGGGCCAAAAAGGGGCAAAAAAACAAGCATTTTTACAGTTTCCAGACGATAACTTGTGTTCAAGTGTATGGATCTCTCTGAAATTGTACTGCAAGGTTCCATACCACAAAGGGAAGGCTGGGATTGAGTTTGGGGGTGATGAATCATAAGGGGGTTGAAAAAATTGGGGGGGGGGATTTTTGTTTCCTTTTTTTTTTCTTTAAAATATTCCTTTTTAAAGATGGTTATTTTTTATTTATATATAAAAGCAAAAAATAATGATATGGTTTGATTTCATCAAAAAATGAAATATTGGGGTTCTTTGATATGCCGAATTTAATCGTGTATTTAGATTCTTTTTTTTTTTGGTCCCGCTTTCAAATTGGTCTACATTAAGGTCCAAAGAGTTCAAAATTACACTTAGTTTGATTTTAACAAAAATTGAATTCTTGGGGTTCTTTGATATGCTGAATCTAACCGTGTATGTATTTAGATTTTGGATATTGGACCATAATAGGTATATTAAAAATGTTTAAGTTCTTAGACCACATTCATTCTGTGTCAGAAACCTATGCTGTGTCAAATATTTAATCACAATCCAAATTCAGAGCTGTATCAAGCTTGAATGTTGTGTCCATACTTGCCCCAACTGTTCAGGGTTCGACCTCTTCGGTCGTATCTAGCTGCGCCCAGCGGAGAATTTTATTTAACCTATGGTACATCGACATTCAACATAACATTTCAACAATACGGCAAGGCAGGTGTGCACTTTATTGAAATAACGAGTTACTTACCTGTGTCAATTGTCCTCTCGTCCTCTCCAATGAACACCAGTGTTATCTTTGCTTTATTTTTCAGAAAAGTCGGAAGACCCAGCTAAAATGCTTTTAGACTACGTTGGTGATAGAACACTTGGAGAACTTGTTTATACCTTTCAGGCCGCAGGGATCCCCGAAATACCACAGAAGCTAAACATTTCTTTGAAGGAAGAGCCGACTGGTAAGTACTTTGTTTCCTCAAAAAGTTATACAGTATACCAACTTTGATTAACAACTGCTTGCAGAAAATGGGTTTGGAGCATGTAATTCAGTGGTTGTCGTTTGTTGTTGTATATCATATTTGTATTTCGTTCATTATTTTTACATAAATGAGGCTGTTAGTTTTCTCGTTTGAATTGTTTTACATTTGTCATTTCGGGGCCTTTTGTAGCTGACTATGCGGTATTAGTTTTGCTTATTGTTGAAGGCCGTACGGTGATCTATAGTTGTTAAATTCTATGTCTTTTGGTCTCTGGTGGAGAGTTGTCTCATTGGCAATTATACCACATCTTCTTATTTTTATATTAAAAAGAGCAAGAGATAGTATTTGAACTACAGCCAATAAAATTTGTATTGAAACAGTTAGATATATTTAGAATTCAATATTTGAAAAACATTTATTGGTGATAGAACACTGCAAATGGAAGCTATACGTTTAATGTTTGTTTTAACTTCTACGTCAGTTGGTCTCTGATGGAGATTTGTGTCATTGGCAATCATACTACATCTTCTTATTTTATGTTTGATGCTTTGTTTGATGGATGCTGACTGCATTGTATTTGGGTGTAATGCAGTATAAATTAGTCAAGATTAACATAACCAGAGATTTATACCATAAAAATAGGAGAAATGCATATTGTTTATAAAAATAATGGTCTATTTAGAAGATAATTTTACTTTACTACAAATTACATCAATATGTGCATGAAAATGGAATAAAAAAGAAACAATTCATAAACGAAAACAGATTATCCAACTGAGGATTCGGACAGTAGCGTCTGTGTCATATGTCTTAGGCAACCTTGATTTGTGTAATGAAGAAGTTGGGTTTGTACCGTTTAACTCTGAGATATCGAAAAAATATATAATAACATATTTTTGATTATGTAGAACACAATAAACATTATATGAATGAAATAGGGTGATTATTTGGGACTCATGATGACAAACGGAAAAAATCGTTATGAAAATAATGCTATGATACACGCCACCCACTGTGCCTGAAATACGTCTATAAAATTGTACATTCTAATGCAATTAGTTTAGAACGATAATTTGCATTGGACGTTGACAAATAATTTGAAGGGTTATATTCCACGTTCTACCAGTCCTAAGGTAAGCCACCATTTTGAATTCCGATTTTTATACGGCCGCAAAAAAATTTGCGGTCATATATTGGTATCACGTCGTCGTCGTCAGCGTCAGCATCAGCGTCAGCGTCGACCGAAGACATTTGGTTTCCTGACAATAACTTTAGTATAAGTGAATAGAAATGTTTGAAATTTAAGCACAAGGTTTAAAACCACAAATGGAAAGTTGGGATTGATTTTTTGGGGTTATGGTCCCAACATTTTAGGAATTAGGGGCCAAAAAAGGGCCCAAATAAGCATTTTTCTAGTTTCCAAACAATAACTTGTGGAACAGTGTATGGATCTCTCTGAAATTATACCACAAGTTTCCATACCACAAAGGGATGGTTAGGATTGGCTTTGGGGGGTTATGGCTCAAACCGTTTAGGAATTAGGGGCAAAAAAGGGGGGAAAACAAGGGTTTCCTGGTTAATGGACAATAACTTAAGTATTGGTCTTTGGATCTCTATGAAATAGATATTGGACCATTAAGAATTATATAAGGGATAGCATTCGATTGATTCATGATATTTTACAGTATATAGAAGAGAACAATATTTTGGGATTTTGATTTTGAGAAAGCTTTGATTCTTTATGTTGGGACTTTTTGCTATAAGTATTACAATTTTTCATGCTATTAGTATTACAATTTTTTTCATATGCTGAATCTAACTGTGTATTTGGTTGTTGGGCCCATTTTCTAATTGGTCCAAATTTTGGTCCTAAGGCTATAAAATTTGTTTTGTTTGATTTAATAAACATTAAATAAAATTTAAAAGATAATAATTACAATGTTATATTTGAATTACCTCCCTTACATTGCTTTTAAATTATGTAAAGTTGTCAGCTAGTTCTAGTATGAATTATTTTTTAGCTGTTTCTAGAAACATCAAATATTGTGATGGAAGATATAATATGATAATAGTGTATATCAAAGGGTTCAGTGGTAATAAATTTTCATATTCAGAATTGTTTATTTGTGATCAATATCATTTGTTATCCGGTTTTTTTAGCATTAAGAGTTACCTCCTTTACAATGATTTTGTTATAAAGAAATGTTGTATTGTCTTGAGGTGATTAGCTGTCAATTTATTTTTAGAAGTTACTATTAAATGCTGATGAAGGTATATTAATTTTAGCCATGTTTATGTATGTCATTTTCTATTTCAATACTTTTATGATTATTTAAATGGGTTTTTATGGTTGCAAACTCCATTGGAAATTTGAATTGAGATTATGACCATATCTTGAGGGAAAGATTTTTTTTTTCTTTGGAAAAAGGGGGGGGGGGGGGGAGGGGAGGTTATAAAAATTAAAATTTGGGGGGGAGGGTAAAAAAAAATTAGAGGGGGATGGGGACAATTTTTCTTCAAGATTTAAAAAATTGTCAATTTTCCAAAGAAAAATTGTGTGTCACAATTGCTAATTCTTTGTATATCGTCTGAAAACAGACTTACAAAGTATTGCGCAACAGCGCAGTGTATTGCACAAAAGCAAGATATTGAATATAAATTCAAATCATATAACCAATTCTAAGTTCTTTGACTACAGTTGCAAATGTATTCTGTGTCAGAAACCTATTATGTGTCAAATATTTAATTACAATCCAAATTCAGACCTGTCTCAAGCGCGAAATGTTCAGGGTTGGACCTCTGCGGTCGTATCCAGCTGCGCTTGGCGAAGCAATTTTTTTTTTGGTATGTAATTTCTCAAAAAAATAAACAAAAAAGTCACATTTTGTGCCTCAAAATCTTCTTTTTATCGATATCTAAACCATTCAGAAGCGTACGAAAAGTATAATTACCCCTAGTGTTTATGTTTAACATCGGGATTATACCTATTGTTTAGAAACCAAAGACGATGTAACAGTTTTGATGTCTTTTTCATTTATGGCATTTTAAGCCAAAATATTTACTAAATGTAATTTATTCTAATATGTGGCATTAGAATGGAGATAACTGTATTGTATTTTAAACTTGGCATTTGTAAAACTTGATTTTACTGTTGCAAATATTCGTTTACCTAGCGCCGCCAAGCTTAAGGGCATACGATACTGTTTTGATCCCACGGTAATTTGTTTACGAAAATTTGCATACAAGCTATTTTTCACCTAGTCTATTTAAATATGTAATAAAAAAAATACCTTCATGTGCTACTTTAAAGAGATAAATGGGGTCGAAATTTCAGACATTTACTAAAAATTTCGGTTTGTTGGACATTTCTATCCTTTAGATAGACATACCTAACTTTTTTGTTTCAAAAGATAAACACAAGCAGATTTTTGTAAAAACATTTGGAAAATCTTCTTTACATAAGTATGCTCTAAATTGGTATAACAATTCTTTCGAAATAATTAATTTTTATCAAAGTTTCATGATTTTAGGAAAAAAACGGATTTTTTTTGCTGTATATTTATATAATATCGGTGACCTTTTTCATAAAAATTGGTTCAAATAATCTTCATACATAATCAAACCTAATGTAATTTAAAAAAGAGGGGTCCATGAACTCGTTTTCAAGTTAAATCAGTCTGAATGATAAAAATCAGTCGAAAATGCATCTTTTCCCGATATGTCACAGTATGACGTCGCAAAAATAACATTTTACGGTAAGCCCCGGTCACACCTTACCGGATAGTGCGAACGGACGCCGAACGGATAACTTTTTTTCAATCCGTTCATGTCTGTTAGACGTCCGTTCTTATCCGTTAGACGTCCGTCCATATCCGTTTCATGTCCGTGTTATCCGTCGACGTCCGTTCAGTCCGGTGGAAAATTTTGAGCATGTTCAAAACTTTGAACGGACGTCCAACGGATGGAGTGTCCGTTAAACGTCCGGTAGCTGTCTGTTTTTTACGGTACTCGTCCGTTCCGTTTCCTTTTTGTATCCGTTACTTGTCCGTTATACATCCGTTGGAGGTCCGGTAGACCAATTCACCAACGGACTTCTACCAGACGTATAACGGATAAAACGGATGATGAACGGGTGTGAAACGGAAATGAATGGAAGGATAACGGATAAAACGGATACGTACCGAATGTAAAACGTATAAATGCCAATGGAAATAACGCGTCAGAAATGCCAATTATTGGTATGTCAGATTTCTTGAGTGTCATGAATGTTTATTATTCATGATGGATCTTGGAGTAAGAGCACGTCTTCACTATCAAGCAGCTCTTATTCAGGCCAGACTGAACTTAAATGTTGCAAATATAAACCTACTAGCTGTCGAAAGGAGAAGAAGGAGAAGACAAAGGAGATGGTGGACAAGAGCATGGCTTAGTCCTGAAAGACAACGCAGTTTTGACCAACTCATGATCGAACTTAGACGGGAGGATCGGCAGTCCTTTGTACACTTTCTTCGAATGCCCCCAGAGATGTTTGACGAGATATTGCAGCGGGTCGGCCCTCGTATGGCAAAGCAGAACACATTTTACAGAAATCCACTAGAACCAGGACTCAAGTTAGCAATTACACTTAGACACCTTGCTTCTGGAGCAAAATTTCGTAGCATGCAGTACGGATGGAGAGTTCCGCATAACACCATATCCGTTTTCATACCAGAGGTATATAATATTAACAAATTTAAAATATCAACTTCAACTTTAAAAGGACGAATTACTACATTGCTTCAAAATTTTTCGAATCAGAGTAGCGGTATATGTGCACACATATCATGCAAAACAAAACGTAATACAAAAATAAAATCAACTAAACAAGTGCACTAAGGTGTCCCTCGCCTTTAAAAAAAATCGGATAAATTGTTCTATTTGCTTGGTACGTGTGACCTTGAACTTTGTCCTACTGACCCCACTTTCACAAAAGCAAATATTATAAAAAACGGATGATTCATACTAGTATACCATGTCCATCTGACACGCTCCCGTCATCGCTAGGGACAACAGTGCGCAAAACGTTTTTAAAAAGTCGGGTTCTATCAGTTGTTTGCATGTATATTATTTAAAATACAATACAGTTATCTCATAAGTGTTCAATCATTTTAGATTTGATGTTTATATTTTTTATTTGTAGGTACAAAACTGCGTTCACTGGAAAACGAAGAACATGGGAAATTGGAAAAGTTCCTAAATGAAAATAAAAGATGGGAATTACTGGCCAATAAATTACAGTTAAAAAGAAGACAAGTAGCAAAATTAGGTAAAACTGTACAGAGGAATGGTCATTTAAAATTGTTTCTAACTGCTTCTTAAGATAAGGTGTTAAGTTTATGTGATTCAATAAGACACAACAAAACAACAGAATAAAACCCAGATAGGCTTTTTATACGACCGCAAATTTATTTGCGTTCGAATTATGTTATGGTATTGTCTACGTCTGCGTCTTGTGACATTTTGGTTCGCAAACAATAACTTGAGTATAAGTTCTCATGGATCTCTTTGAAATTTAAGCAGAAGGTTCCATACCAGTGAAGGATGGTTGAAATTGTTTTTGGGGGTTATTGTCTTAGCGGTTTTGTAATTAGGGGCCAATAAAGGTCAGTTTTACTGGTTCATGGAAAACACATTGGTTTGCAGACAATAACTTTAGTATAAATAAAATTGAGAATGGAAATGGGGAATGTGTCAAAGAGACAACAACCCGACCATAGAGCAGACAACAGCTGATGTGTATGGATGACAACAAGTGTATGGATGTGTAAGAAATTTTAGCACAAGGTTCCATACCACAATAGGAGGGTTGGGATTGATTTTGGGGGTTATTGGTCAGCTGTGTTGTAATAAGGGGCCAGGAAGGGGCCAAAAACAATTATTTGTCTGTTTTTATACGACCGCAAAAAATTTTTGCGGTCGTATATTGGTATGACGTCGTCGTCGTCGTCGTCGTTGTCTGGCGTCGTCCGGCGTCGTCCGAAGACACATTGGTTTTCGCACTCTAACTTAAGTTTAAGTGAATGGATCTCTATGAAATTTTACCATAAGGTTCAATACCACAAAAGGAAGGTTGGGATTGATTTTGGGGGTTATGGTACCAACAGTTAAGGAATTAGGGGCCAAAAATAAGCATTTTTGTAACTTCCAGACATAACTTGTGTGTTAGTGTATGGATCTCTCTGACATTGTACCACAAGGTTCCATATCACACAGGGAATGCTGGGATTGATTTTGGGGGGTAATTACCTCAAAATATTAGGAATTAGGGGCCAAAAAAGGGGCAAAAAACAAGCATTTTTCTAGTTTCATGACAATAACTTGTGTGTAAGTGTATGGATCTTTCTGAAATTGTACTACAAGGTTCCATATCACAAAGGGAAAGCTGGAATTGAGTTTGGGGGTAATTGCTCAAAACGTTTAGGAATAAGGGGCAAAAAGGGGCCAAAAATAAGCATTTTTCTAGTTTCCAGACAATAACTTGTGTTCAAGTGTGTGGATCTCTTTGAAATTGTACCACAAGTTTCCATATCACACAGGGAATGCTGGGATTGATTTTGGGGGTAATTGCCTCAAAATATTAGGAATTAGGGGCCAAAAAAGGGGCAAAAAACAAGCATTTTTCTAGTTTCATGATAATAACTTGTGTGTAAGTGTATGGATCTTTCTGAAATTGTACTACAAGGTTCCATATCACAAAGGGAAAGCTGGAATTGAGTTCGGGGGTAATTGTCCAAAATGTTTAGGAATAAGGGGCCAAAAAGGGGCCAAAAATAAGCATTTTTCTAGTTTCCAGACAATAACTTGTGTTCAAGTGTATGGATCTCTCTGAAATTGTACTGCAAGGTACCATACCACAAAGGGAAGGCTGGGATTGAGTTTGGGGGTGATGAATCATAAGGGGGTTGAAAAAATTTAGGGGGGGGGGGGGGTTTCTTTTAAAATTTTCCATTTTAAGTTGGTTATTTCTGTTTTATATTTAAAAGCAAATTGGAGATACACACCAAACAGGATGTGTAAATTATTATATAATAAGTATTGTGCAATAGCAAGAAATTTTCAATTGCACAGTATTGCACAATAGCAAGAAATCTTCAATTGCACAGTATTGCGCAATAGCAAGAAATCTTCAATTGCACAGTATTGTGCAATAGCAAGAAATATCCAATAGCACAATATTGCGCAATAGCAAGAAATTGTCAATTGTACAGTATTGCGCAATAGCAAGAAATATTCAATTGCACAGTATTGTGCAAAAGAAGATACTTCGTATAAATTGCTTATTTCTTGACCAATTTCAATGGGTTTTATTCTTGAATTCTTGGGGTTCTTTAATATTCTGAGTCTAACCGTGTATTAAGTTTTTGGATTTTGGGCCCCGTTTTTAAATTGGTCCACATTGAGGTCCAAAGGGTCCAAAATTAAACTTTGTTTGATTTCATCAAAAATTGAATTATTGGGGTTCTTTGATATGCCGAATCTAACCGTGTATTTAGATTCTTAATTTTTGGTTCCGTTTTCAAATTGGTCTACATTAAGGTCCAAAGGGTCCAAAATTAAACTTAGTTTGATTTTAACAAAAATTGAATTCTTAGGGTTCTTTAATATGCTGAATCTAAACATGTATTTAGATTTTTGATTATGGGCCCAGTTTTCAAGTTGGTCCAAATCGGGGTCCAAAATCAACCTTTGTTTGATTTCAACAAAAATTGAATATATGGGGTTCTTTGATATGCTGAATCTAACCATGTATTTAGATTTTTGATTTTTGGGCCCCATTATCAACTTTGTCCACATTGAGGTCAAAAGGGTCCAAAATTAAACTTTGTTTGATTTCATCAAAAATTGAATTCTTGAGGTTCTTTGATATGCTGAATCTAACCATGTATTTAGATTTTGGATATTGGACCATAATAGGTGAATGTCCAATTTAAAATTTTTAAGTTCTTAGACCACATTCATTCTGTGTCAGAAACCTATGCTGTGTCAAATATTTAATCACAATCCAAATTCAGAGCTGTATCAAGCTTGAATGTTGTGTCCATACTTGCCATACCACAATAGGAAGGTTGGGATTTATTTTGGGGATTATTGCTGTAGCTGTTTAGTAATTAAGGGCCAAAAAGGGGTCAAAAACAAGCATTTTTCATGTTTCAGGACACTAATTTGTGTATTAGGATACGGATTTCTATGAAATTTTAATACAAGGTTTGATAGTTCAAAAGGGAAGATTGAATTGATTTTAGGGGTCATGGTCCAAACCGTTTAATAATAAGGGGCTGAAAAGAGGCAAAAAAAATAGTATTTTCTGATTTCTGGACAATAACTTGAGTATAAGTCTATTAATTGCTATTTAATGCCACACGGTGTTATACCATAAAATAAAGTTTGGGATTGATTTTAGGGGTTATGACCTTATTGGTTTAGTTAAAAGGGGCCAAAACCAATACTTTGTATAAATTGCTTATTTCTTCAGCAATTTCAATGGGGTTTAATTCAAAAGTCTTGAATTCTTGGGAGTCTTTAATATGCTGAATCTAATTTGGTATTTAATATTTGGATTTTAGGGTCTGTTTTTGAAATGATCCATATTAAGGTCCAAAGGGTTCAAAATTAAATTTTGTTTGATTTATTCAAAAATTTAATTTTTGTTCTTCTTTGATATGCTGAATCTAAGCATGTATTTAGATTTTTGATTTTGGGCACAGTATTCAAGTTGTTCCAAATTGGGGTCCAAAATTGAACTTCGTTTGATTTCATCAAAAAATTGAATTATTGGTGTTATTTGATATGCCCAATCCAAAATGTTTTAGATTTTTGATTTTGGGCTTGGTTTTTAAAGTTGGTCCAAATTTGGGTCCAAAATTAAACTTTGTTTGATTTCATCAAAAATGAAATTATTGATGTACTTTAATGTGTGCAATCTAACAGTGTTTTAAATTTTTGATTTTGGCCTGTTTTTCAAACTGGTCCACATTAAGGTCCAAAGTATCCCAAAATAAACTTAGTTTGATTTTAAAAAAAATATTTTTTGGGATTCTGTGATATGCTGAGTCTATGCATATAATTAAATTTTTTTCACAGTTTTCAAGTTGGTTGAAATTGGGGTCCAAAATTAAAAAATTTTTTGAATTCAACAAAAATTGAATATATAGGGTTCTTTGATATGCTGAATTTAAGTGTGTATTTAGATTTTGATTTTTGGTCCAGTTATCAAATTGGTTCACATTGAATTCTAAAGGGTCCAAAATTAAACTTTGTTGGATTTCTTAAAAAAATTGAATTCTTGGGTTCTTTGATATGCTGATTCAAACTATATATTTAGAATTTGGATATGGGACTATACTTGGTCATGTTGGTAAATTATTTAAGTACTTAGACAACATTCATTCTTTGTCAGAAACTATGCTACATCAAATATTTAATCAGAATCTAAATTTAGAGATGTATTGCACAATTAATCGAAATTTTGAGTTTAGTCATAGTTAAAAATAGATATAGCATCATATCTAATTTTAGAGAAGAAATTATGTATAGAGATAAATTGAAATTTACTGTTCATTATTAGAATTTTTGAATAATATTTAACATCTTTATAACCTAATCATAGAAATTAAATATAAAAAAGAATGAAGGAAAGTTTATAATGAAATTCCCCTACACATAACAAAAAGAAATTGAAAATTAAATTATTCTTCCTATAAAACTACACACAATTTGTATAATAGATTTTTACAATTAACTAAATATACACATTTGCACATATAGATTAGTAAAATGTATTTACTATTAATTTATTCATGCAATAATTTTCACCTATTATCAAGAAAACAAAACATGTGGTAATTATCAATAACACAATTATAATTGGAGTGACAGATTTATTTGAACATTTTGTGTTTCCTAACTGTTGTTGATGATAAGCTCTGTAGGACAGTATAAATATAATTTGAAATTTACTGTTCATTATTAGATATTTTGAAGATAATTACAGATTTATAGATTTTTTAAGGACATTGTATTAATGATAAATGATATAAGTTGGTCCATTTCGAGGTCCAAAATTAAACTGTGTTTGATTTCAATATAAATTGAATATATATGGGTTTCTTTGAAATGCTGAATCTAAACCTGTATTTAAATTTTGGATTTTTGGGCCCAGTTTGGAAGTTGGTCCAAATCAGGGTCCAAAATTAAACTTTGTTTGATTTCAACAAAAAATGCATTGATTGGGTTCTTTGAAATGCTGAATATAACAATGTTTTTGAA